CGATCTTTGAGTATGCTCAATAGTGATGTCCCGAACGGTTTGCCGAACGGTTCGCCCCCTATTTGGCGAACCGTTCGGGACTTCACTAATGCTCAAGAATAAAAATAATCAGGCAGTAATATAGAATCACATAATCATAATATTAAATGTGTCATGGTTGGTTTATAATCCAGTTTGGGAGATGTACTTAAAGGAATACTATAGGGCCGGGAACACAAACTTGTATTCCTGACCCTGTAGTGTTAAAACCAACATTTAGGTGGCTTGCCCCCATTATCCCCCCCAGAAAGGGTTATCATTTACCTTATTTCCAGCTCCCCAAGGGTCTGCTGGTGCTTGCCCAGCTCCCGATCTGCCTCTTTGGCACAGGGAAAGCATTAGATTGGCTTAGATTGTCAAAGGGGTCTGGGGACAGGGCCAAAAGCCACCCTGGCCAATCAGCATTTCTTCATAGAGATGCTTCAAATCAATGCATCTCTATGAGGAGAGTTCATCGTCTCCATGCAGAGTGAACCTGTTTTGAATATTTTAACTTACCTTAAATCTCTTCCAAATACATTGAATACACTAAGATGCATGGTGTATTCAGTGTAAAATATAAAGATTTACTTTCTTTTCGTGTAGCACCCACCTCCGGACCACCCTCTTTTCCACCTCTGTTTTTCTCTGATTTGCTGTGCATGAAACGCTTCCCTAAGCCGGGCAAATCTCATAAGTGACATTGGCATGTTGGCTTTGTTGCCATCGTGCTGACGTCTGGAGTTACGTCACGCCACTCCATTCCTCTACTCCCTAGTCAGAGCGAGAAGCACAGGTTATAAAGTTTCCATAGTAACTTTAGCGCATGCTCTGTGGTTTCTATGGAGAACACAGGGACTCTTTTGTGCTCTCTCTTAGTTAATGCCTCGGAAAAATATTTTTTTCTCCTAATCAATGCATTTACTAGCAAAACTACTACCACAATGTATAGATAAAATCTTATACTCAATCTAATGAGCATAAGTTGTTTGGGGGCATGACGGGTGCCCTTTAAGGTCAAAGTAACTTACCTAAAATCATAGCTAGAGTTAGAGAATTTTTACACAACTTCTATTTTGACCTTAAATAAAATTCACATTGAATTCACTTTGAATTTTCACTTTAGTAAAAAACCCTGTTAATATTTCAAAGCTTTTCTTTGTAAGGAAAAAGGTATCAATGAGTTTGCAATGTGTGATTTCACACAGTTGGAAATAACCCTTAATTGTGAAATAACTGTGAAAACAATTATCTTTATTGTGGGTTACAGTAATTCTCAATGTTTTTCAGACAGATATTTTATATGATAATGGGTGCTTCTACTCTAGAGAAATACACATATTTTATGAAAAAAAGCAAGCGTTTAGCCATATTTATGAAAATAACACTATTTATGCAACATTATTACCAAACTTCTACGTAATAAGGATACATTGTGATAAAATTACTGGTGCTAACTCACACATTAAGGTCACATAACAATTCTACTTGGATGCCATGGTGGCTTGTAAATGTTCCTGCTTTTTGGCTTATTCAATCAATTTACACAAATGTGTATACCTGATACTATAGGTGTGAAAACACTGTTTAGGTTCTGGCCCAGTTGCCCATGGTGCAAAAAGGGATTTTACTTAAATTTTTTCCAGGGCCGCGCGGGTCTCCTGCCAGCTGGCCCTGCCCATGCTCTGCCTCAGTTTTGATAATATCAGTCAATACAATGATTCCCCACAGGGAAGCATTGGGAGGCTATTGCGCATGCACAGCAATACGCAGCACTGTGCTAATCAGCATCTCCTTTTAGAGATGCTGTGAATCAATGCATGTCTATAAAGAACGTTCAGTGCCTCCATGCATACTACCCCACACATTGTGCAGCACTAACCCAAGAAGCACCTCTAGTGGCTGTCTAAGTGACTACACCTAGAGGTGTTCCTAGGCAGTAATGAAAACAGGCGGTGTTTACATGAAAATGCCTGCAGGGACATTCTATACACATTAAGCTGTAGTTGTTCAGGTGACTATAGTGTCCATTTAACCATATTATTTTTTAATCATTTTATTTTATTTTACATGCCAGGCTTAGTAATAAGAATAGACAGTAGGTGGTAAGTAGGTATGTAATGTTTCAGAACCTGCAACATCAATTCATCATTTTTACGTCAATACTTTCATGGACCACCGAATGCCTTCTATCTAGCATCATACCAGCTTAATATTTTATTTGGATTGTCCTTTGCCTCCGTTCCAGTGACATGTACGGTGTCTATTTGGATGCTGAATACTTAGGACCTGTGTCCCTTTCTGACTCCAAACCATTCTGCTTCATTTCCGACACATGCCCACTCACGTCATTGTGCGACAACGCCCGCACGCCATTTTCTGTCGCAGGATTCAAGCACACCAATCAGAGATTATCTAGAGGTATATAAGCCCTTCTCTTTGTCCTAGCCTTTGCCCTGGTGTGATCTCCCTTGTGGTGTTTATTACCTTGTGTCTGATTCTTGATTATTGACTCTGTCTTGTTATTCTCCCTTCTGAATCCCTGACCTTGGCTCGTGTATTCGTTATTGCTGTCTTCTATATTCCCAGCCATATGGTGGCATGCCCCCGCTCCCTCCATGTCTTCCATGTCTTACTCACAGCTAGCCTTTCCTGACTTCCGTCCCCCTACAGCACACAGAGTGATTCCAGCAGATGAATACTCCGTGTGCTGTAGGGACTGTTTATTTTGTCATACAATATGTACATTATGTTGCGGTCATAATTCTATTCTATAGGGTTACTCCAAACTAAAAACAAGTGTTTAAAAAAAACAAAACAAACACTGGGTTCCCCTTCCCCAACCATAGATATATATATATATATGTATATATAATACACAAGATCCAGCGCACTCACCTCTCCACTAAACAGCAACTTCAATGTTGAAAGATTTGATTTGTTTTTTTGTTAGGCAAAAATAATGGGGGTTTAGTTACATTATATGATCATACATTGCATAAGCCTGCCACAATGTCAATGTACCCCATCTTTGGCACTAACAGCCTAATGTCTGCTATTATGAGATTAACCCACTTACTGGGGAAAAAATTCCATCTGGGGCTCTCTGCAGTACAAGGCTAAATAGGGCCCTGGGATGAGGCACCTGTGACAGGGAGGGGTGCAAAACCAAGTTGGCTAGACTTCCAAATATATATATATGAAACAAGGAGGGGTTGGCTGCACTCACCTTAACAAGCATAAATGGGGGTGCTGCTGGGGGCCAAATTATACAATACACAAAATCCAGCGCAGTCACCTATCCACTAAACAGCAACTTCAATGTTGAAAGATTTTATTTGTTTTTTTTTTAAAAACACCTAATCTAGGCAAAACTAATGGGGGTTTAGTTACATTATATGATCATACACTGCATAAGCCTGCCACAACGTCAATGTACCATATCTTTGGCACTAACAGCCTAATGTCTGCTCTTATGAGATTAACCCACTTACTTGGGGGAAGAAAAAAAAAAATATATATATATATGTATATATATATATATAAATAAATGAAGCAAAAATAAATGGAGAGAGCACTCAATGGATTTTCTCAAGGTGTTTTTGTGAAAAAATAAACGATCAACGTTTCGACCCAGAAGGTCTTTATCAAGATGTATTATATTATCTAATATATATATAAAAGTTTGGGGAAGTGGGATCTGATTAGGAAGGCTTACTTTTTTAAAACACTTGTTTGTGGTTGGAATAACCCTATAGAATAGAAATATGACCTCAACATAATGTACATATTGTATCAGTAAGTAAACAGCCCATGGAAAACAAGCTTGATGGCTAGACATTGCCTAAATAAATGGTAATCAGCAATCGCCATCTGCAAAGTGCAAACATTCCCAGTTTTGTAAACTGTTTGTAAGACTGTGTATATGACCCAGAGTGTTTAGCTGTATACATTTTTGGGGTTTTTCCATGTTGGAGCCACGGGGATAAGGGAGAAATGTAATGAATGGTACAGAATCATGTTCTTTTATTAGTGCAACAAACTTCCCGTAATTCATACAGAAGCTTATTAAACAGCAACCATGTTGTAACGTATAAAGTTTATGTGATATAATAAAAAAGCAGTACCAAGTACTATATCTCGATGTACTTTTATTAAAATCAGACACATTTATCAATCGTGTCTAAGTTGAATTCAAATATTAATTGACTGATAAAACCATATTTCAGAATAGACCCCAACAGAATTAAAGGATCACTATAGGGTCAGGAACACAAACATGTATTCCTGACCCTATAGTGTTAAAACCACCATCTAGCCCCCTGGGCCCCGCATGCCTCCATAAATATAGCAAAATCTTACTGTATTCAAGCCTGAAGCTGTAACTTTGCATGCTGTTTGACTCAGAAAAATAAGCAGTCTGCTGACATCATCAGAAGTGGTAGTCTGATCCAATCACAATGCTTCCCCATAGGATTGGCTGAGACTGACAAAGAGGCAGATCAGGGGCAGAGCTAGCATGATTCAAACACAGCCCTGGCCAATCAGCATCTCCTCATAGAGATGAATTGAATCAATGAAGGAACGTTTCTCTGCATGCAGAGGGTGGAGACACTGAAAGTTTGGATGCATTTTAGGCAGCCATGACCCAGGAAGGATCTCTAACAGCCATCTCAGGAGTGGCCAGTGAAGTTATCACTAGGCTTTAATGTAAAAACTGTATTTTTTCTGAAAAGACAGTGTTTACAGCAAAAAGCCTGAAGGTAATGATTCTATTCACCAGAACAAATTCAATAATCTGTAGTTGTTCTGGTGACTATAGTGTCCCTTTAATATTTTTTTGGGTTAGCATATCTTGCAGCACTGTTAAAAACAAAAAAATAAACCCAGGTACCGACATGCCCGGAGAGCCTCCACACACGGTACACAGCCACACAACCTACAGAGGCGCACTATAGAGACCTATACTCTGCCTACAACAGGCGAAGCCAATATAGCCTATCAACACACCATAGCCGCAACCGGCACCCAGAAGGGCCTTGGCGGCTCAATACGGCAGAGCTCCACGAGGCACCAGGGCAAGGTACAGCCTCACACCCCAACGACAACCACCTACCCACAAGAAACAAGCTCAGGGCAGAGCGTCCGTAAGCCTCCCCACAGGCGGGGCATTGAGTAAACCGATGAGAAGACCCGGACTGCCTGCTGGCCAGCTCCGGTGATGACGCCGGCACGGACGAACCCTCAGACCCACCTAACCTGGCCGTCTCCCCCCCAAAAAAGCTTGCGGCCATGTACATAGACTTACCCACACCATACCTCGCACTTGCATTGACTCTGCTTATGATTAGCTAGGCACACTGCCTAATGATAACACAGTATACACACAGCATGAAACATGGCACACACTTCACTAAGCCACACCAACAAGCCTCAGAACGCAAACACCCACTTAAGGCAGCGCAGCGTGTTATAATATTCAGACTTAATGTTAGAGGGAATAGAAAGTCTACCTGGAAGCCTTTAAGCTAGCAGTGCTCTAAGATTTAAATGTTGAATGTGCACAGTCTGCTATGCACCCTAACGCTATGCAATAATTTCTAGTCCATCGACTAACATATTTTATATCTTGCCCTAGCGTGAGTTGAAACATTACTACACACCCCAGCTCATAGTTTATATGCATAACATATAACTGCGCACGCTAACAATTACTCAGCAAGGTAGTTGACTGTTGGAAATATTCGGTTAGCAATTATGCACTAATATACTCATCATACATAGCATGTTGATTTCGCATGAAAAATAACAAAAATGTGCTGTTTTACTTGCATGCCATAACGACTAGATGTTCAAGATAAGCCTGCAGTAGCTGTTATAGCACTGCAAAATCAAATGTTATATGTCTTCACAAGCACAAAGAAAAATAAAGAATAAAAAATAATAATAATAAAATATATATATATATATATATATATATATATATAATCCCAGGTGAAAAAATAAATGGGATGGAGGTTGGATGACATTGGATGAGTTAACACAAAAAAAAAAAAAAATATGAAGTGACAGTTAGTGGCTACCTGCAGTGCACTTGCAATGTGTATGTAGTTCGAGTTAAAACCGTAATGGAATTCATAAATGCAGAGGGTGTGAATAGAAATATTATGGATCACAATGAAAGAAAAATGAAACAGAGATGTTGAGACCCATGGATTCGCTTGTCTATCTTCAGTCTCTATTTCTATGGGTTACAAAGAAGTATGCATACCAAGAACATTACACAGTATATATAATAATTAGGGCTACGGCAGTGAGAGCATGCAGTCTCTAGAATCAAGTGGAGTTTGACCCTCTTGATACATGCTGAACTTTAATGTTGTACTAAGGAATTTGCAGTAAGAAGCACATTTTCAGGGAATTTGTGGATATCATTGGGAATCAGTAAAAATCATGCTTGAGGCCCATTCTTCAATTGTAATCTCTGATCCTCCAATTCTTAATATGCCTTTTCCACATGCTAGGTTTACAAATCTACCTTAAGTGCTTTAACACCTAATGGCAATTTGGGGATGTTGTTTTAATAAAAACATAAAGCCAGTGTCCCATTACATGTTTAGAAATGTACTAAGGTCAGGTCATTAATGCTTGTATAAATCCAAATGATAATCATAGCAGAAAGTAATGTCACAAAAAATGCTACAGGCTGAAATGAATATAGTCTCGCTCTTGACCAGTAAAATCCTCAATATCATTGTACTATGCCAGTATAGAGTGTCCTACTTATTTACTACCAGAATTTCTATTAGTAGGTCATTAAATGTCAGATTCTGTTCTCTAAGGACTGGAATTGTGTAACTGCAAAACAGACTGTCTCAAGTTCTTAACAGGTTAAAGGAAATTCAAAATCTACACCATGAGAAGGGTAGATGGTAATCGGTATCCTTATCATTTTAAACGTTACGTAAATTAAGAATTTAGTAGCCATGAATGCCTTTAAAAAAAATGTGACTGTTAAGAAAAAATATTCTTAAACTCTACTAGACTGCTTTATAATGTTTAAAAATGTTCTTGTTAAATCTAACAAAAAAAAATATAGAGTACTTTGAATATCTGAAATAAAAACACATGATAAAACAAATCTCTCTAGAAAGGCCACTCTCTACGTCAGTTGTTTAAGTGAAATGTAAGAAGACACCACACGCCTGTGTTAGGATTTGCCTTGCCATGATTCCAGGATTATTCAAATCTTAGGTTTCACTTATTGCTGCGTAACAGACGGTCATACAAGCAAGATCTACTTTAGGCCCATTTGCGCAATAGATGTCTTACTAATTGAACCTGGCACTAGGTAAACAGTCTGTTCCATTTTTATTCCCCATAGTGATATATCTAAGTGTGGTTACTAGGTTTCAGTGAACTTCCTCGGGGCAGTTGAAGCACGATATTCTGTATCGTTACTAGAATTCGTAAAAGTAACAATACAGTTTTAAATCTACAGGCAATAACCAGACTTAAACCTGACCATTCATCCATCAATGACAAAGTATTTCTATGTTGTATTTAAAATTGTATTTCTAAGTAGCCAAAGGATCTTAAGTGCAGTTTGTTCCTCACTAAGTGGTAGTCCCTTCTAAATTGGTTTAATTTGATTATTCTGTGCATATCAGAGCAGAAAAAAAGCTTTATCTAATTGATTTGGTGGCTCTTAAGTCACATTTTGGTTACACCTGCGTTCTGTCTCATGCTGAGAAGGTGACCTTAAGTTGGGATTCTGGGCATAACACCCAGCTTCATGACAAGTGAGCATGTAGGTACTGTAAGGTTTCAGGTGCAGTAAGGTAATCTCTCTGGAGACTTGTTGTGGGTCTTCAAGCAGGCAGCTGGTAGTACATGTGATTTGTTTGAGGATTATTTAGATTTTTGTGTCCTCTGTAAATTACACCATTGAATAAAACAATGAAAATCCAGGACACACATTGCAACTGAGGCAACATTACTTTATTTCTCCTCTTCTCTCTATGCTGAATGCTAGCTGCAAGAACATAGATTTTAATCTGAGCAAGTGCAACCTAGTCACAAAATGTTAGTGCCTCAGCAAGAGTTCCCCATGTAGGGGAATGATTTTTTAAAATTTATTTTATACGCTGATTGAGGCATCATCCTTTTTTAGAGAAGCTGGCAAATTTGTTATGATTGACAGCCAAGATAAAGGAGCCTGCATGATGAACAGGTGTAAATTGCTATATATTATTGTCCACACCTAAGAAACACATATTTGTTAAATACATGAGATACAAAAATATACTATTAAATATCTGGGAAATGGCAATTCCCCTTTAAGATTCAGTCCTAAAAGTCAAAGCTTCTGTTGCTAGCTGGTTAAACAGTATGATGCTATCCAAACGTGTTCCCAAGGCTAAAAACCTTCATCACTGAGAAAGCAGATAATCACCATAACTCCAAAACAGGGCAGTAAATATGCAAGACAGTGATAAACTACACACAGAAAATAGGTAAACAATACACTAGATAGACAACATAAATGTGAAAAGCAGCACGCCAACACTGAATTAATAAAGAGTTATATCTAAAAACATCTGGCAAAAGCTGCAGATCTCTTGATTTTGTAAGCCCTCCCCTTCTAATCCAGCCCAGACGTTCTGTGGCTGTCCAACCACAGACTCCCCAATGCAGCTCAATGAGTCTCTGCAAGGAAGTGTCAGGGGTGGCGGTCCGGTGACCGGGACCCAGTAGGCCTGATCTTGATAGGAGTCACTCTGTGGAAATGGATTATCAGGGCCTGGTGCAGGGTAACCACACGCCCCCTGGTGTTGAGCACTAGTGATTGTGCGGCCACATACCAGGGCCCTGGTGCAGTTTCTGCGGATCCCAGGTGTCAGATGACAATAAGCAGACCTCCCAGGATCTGAATAGGGAGGCTCTGCAGCAGATATGTATCCAGTACAGAAACAAGGTAAGACTAGGATAGACACCAAACAAGAAAACAAGACAAAACTAGGAGAACCCAGAATCGGAGCAGGACAGAAAGCAGAACCCAGAACATGTACACAAGACATGAGGAAAACAAGAACAGGGCAGGACAGAACTGTACATGAAATGGGAATACAAGACAAAATAAAACAAGACAAGAGATACAAGGCGACATAACTAATTACAATATATGTAAAACATTGGAGATTTAGACATACATAAATGGCCAAGATGTATGCAGCCCAACTGCTTCAAAGTCCTCCAATTACGGTGGGTTCCGTATCTGCCTAGATATGCATGACTAAATAAACAATAATACAACACACACAGCACTTACCTGCAAGAAAAGGGCAAAGGACTTGGAACAACCGCCTGCACTAACCAACTGAAACAAAAGGATTAATGGAAAAGGAAAGGGTGTGGCAACAGAAAACAAACATATAAAGGAATCCAGGAGACTGGGAATTCCAGGTATGGAAAAAAGGAATGAACCCAGAAAACCCAGCATAAAGAAAACCAGACATGGAATAGAAAACCAGAAAAACTAAACAAGAATTATAAAAAAAAGAATACTGGATACCAGAAGCCATTGCCAGAAATGATCCGCAGCCAGGAACAGGATGTGACTGGAAGGTGCTCTGGGCAATTGTCTGACTTCTTGTAGTCTCTCTGTTTTACTTGATGATAGTTTTTCCTCATCAGAGATTTTTTTCATTGGCTACCTCAGTGGAATGACTACACACCTTTCTGCCCTATCCTTTATTGTAAATTCTAACCAATGCACCATAACCGATGGTTATTCTGATCTAAACTGCAAGGAGGCAGATTGGGCAAACAAGTCACCAGGGCCCAGTAAGCAATGCAGCAATGACCCACAATAGCGAACCTGTAAGAAAGGAGACAGAAATGGCAATAAAATTTCAGCAATTAGTAAGTCCATGTACTGCATACATACCCTGTACAGGTCCCCACTTTCCTTACACAACATCTCACTGTGAAAGAACCTGGGCTGTGACTGAATGTATGAGCATTGGTGTCCGTTTGCTACATGCACAAAATTATAGATCAAGCTGTCATTAAGTGAAAACTCAACTTTTTTTATTGTTTTGAAAATAAAAGTCTAAAATTAAAATTTTTAGCTCTCGTTTCGTTG